GAAATATTTTGTTATATCAAAATTATAAGTATAGGCAAATACTGTATAGTAAGTATTTCAAATACTGTATAGTAAGTATTTTAACCTAAAACTATGTGAAGAAAATGGTACTATGCAATAACAAAGCAAGAGTATTATATGATAGTTTACATAATTAATTCAGTGTTATGTGAACATTCTAGAACTTTTGAAAATGCTTTAAAGAACTATTTGATTTGTGATTTAACATTCTTGATATTATGATAAGAACAGTTGATCCAAATATTGATTCTACATTTTTCCATTTTGATCTGATTATTTTTGAATTTGTATTCTTATTCAATAGAGGTTTATTTCTTTTAAAAAATCTTGTTTGTTTAGAAAAAAAATAAATAAACAAATGAACATATTGTGTTAACTTCACCGTGTTGTTGATCCTGCCACATTTGTGCGTTGAAAATAGAGGAGTTATATTATTTTGTTCATTTCAAGTTGATTCCAATCCATTCAATTTTTGAGAATATTTGGATAAACTAATAACAGTTCAAAGGATAATAGCTCTTGATCAGTAGACAAAATCATTTTTGTTAGCTTTTAATTTTTATTACCCTGTCATTATCCCCTGCCATGATAATAGCAAGTGACATATGACTGTGTTTCCCCTATACGTCTGTACCTGCCTGTGTACGAAAACCTTGTCTGGTCTGTCATGCATCAAGAGATGTGAAAATCATTTGGCACAAATGATGACAATAATTGCTTTAATACATTTGTTAATTATTTACTAAAGAAACATATTAACATAGATAGTACGATGATATTTCACTTTTATTAATAAGTGACAACTATAAGACATACACAAGGTAAAAATCATAGGTTAATAATTAGAACAAAACTCACTCCTTATGACAGTTTATAGACAATAACTAATAGATGAACCAAACACACACACAGATACACAAGTGACTATCAAAGGACTGTACTGAATTGAATACATGCGCCTTTGTTATTTGGTAAGGAGAAGAAAGTATTTGTATTTGTAATAGTCAGGTGGTCTTAAAATCTGATAAAAAACCTTTGATATCAGAATAAATTTGTCATAATAGCTAATGTGATGGTGAGGCGGGCTCTATTGTAACTTGGCGCAAATGTGTAGCATGATGAGACAGTGTGTAATGCAATAGAGCAATAGAGCAATAATCTTAGCTCCAAAGTCAAGGTCAGACTAAGAGGTCAAAGGTCAGCAGTTAAAAAATCTTGTCTGGTTCATATCTCTGTCATGCATCAAAGGATTTTGAATTTGGAAAAAGTGTTAGGCATAATGAGTCCTTGTTTAATGTGATGTGATAATCAGTTCTTTACTTTGGCAACAGAAATAAATGTTGCTTATGCGAAAAACTATTGAACATCTATTTTTCCAGTTCTACGCTCGAGTACAGATTAAAGGAAGAGATTTGTGCTCTTAATTCCTTAAATTTTGCTGAAATTGACTTTAACTTTGTTATTAGAATAATGGATATTGTATTCATACTTGAACATAACAACTCTTATTACATTACCCTTAAGTAGGTCAAACTCAACTTGACCTTGACTTTTGTATGACCTTGACCTCTATGATGAAATAATTGAATTTTGCTAACATTGGCCATAAATTTGTTCTTAAGGGATTGATTTGATTCATGCTTTGACAAAATAAAACTTATCACAACCACCATGTTAAACAACTTGTGTTTGACCTTAACCTTGAAGGTCAATTTATTGAATTTTGCAAAAATTGAACAGTATTGTATTTTTAATAGATTGATTTGATTCATACTTGGACAAAACAACACTTGGTATAAGACAATTATTTAGCAACACAAATATGACCTTTACCATCAAGGCCCAAGTGTTGAATTTAGCTCAAATTTACGATTAGATGTATTCATTTTCGGACATAACAACCTTGAAATACATACCTGCAAGTAAGTCAACCTGCACTTGACCTTGGCATTTATGTTAAAATTATTGACTTTTGCTCAAGATGCCCATTACTTTTTAATTTGGATGGATTGATAAATACTTGGTTAAACCAACACTAGCCTTACAATTGTCATGTTAAGCAGTTCAGGTTTGACCTTGACCATAAAATGACATTGACAATTATGGCCAAATCATTGAATTTTGCAAAAATAACAACAGTTTTGTTATAAATAGACATATTTGATTTATATTTGGACTTTACCAACACATTGATTAAAGTCATCAAGTTGCAATTAAGTTCTGACCTTGATCTTTAAAGTAAAATAATTGATTTTTTCACAAAATTGGTCAAATCTTTGTAATAAAAAAATATTATCATTTATGAGCTATATTTAGACATAACACTTTGGACAAAAACTTGTTTACTTGGAAAAAACAACACTGGGCCAAACTTTCAAATTGAGTAAATTTCACCTTTGACATTCACTAATAATGGCCTCTGATACAGTTAGTTCTATACATTTTGTCTGTATTGCTTGGAGCTAAATGACCTCATTGGTTATTTATTAACAAAAAAAGGAAATGTCCTTTGAAATGATATCTATCTGTCTGTTCATCCATTAGCAATTTGGTATTGATGTAAGCTCTGAATCTTTTGAACTGATAAAAGAAAATCGAAACCACTTTGCAGAAATGTTATGGATTGGATGAGAGGATGTGCAGAGCAAATGTTTGGACTCCTGGAAACAAGGTCAAAGCCACTCTTAGTCATAATGTGTGCATTTCAACTTCATATCTTTTCAACCTATGGATAGAAATTAAATCACCATGAGGTAATGTGTAGCGCACAAGTTTTGGCTTCTTCAGCTCAAGGTCACATTGAACTCGTTCAAATTTCCTTAAAGGCAGGGTTGGGGTTCTAACAATTGTTATGCCCCTTTCAAAGAAATGGCAGTATATTACTTAGCATAAATTTGTCTTTTGGTCTGTCCATAGACCAAATGGTTTCCGATCAATAACTAAAGAATGTTTAGGCCTAGGAACTTCAAACTTGGTATGAGGATTGTCCATTACCAGTAGTGACAGATACGTACAAAGCAGAATTTATCAAATCTACAGAAAGGTCATGAAGAGAAATGAGTGATACATACCTGATAAAATGCAACATAACGAAAGTTTTGGTAAACTGGAAAGTTTCTTTTGTAATAATAATAAAAATAATAATTACTTAATAAGATTGATATTAGAGGAATTGACTAAAGTTAAATATGCAGGGAAATTGGACGGACGGAGAATCTTGTGCTTGTGAAGTGTGTTTGTTGCATTTTACGCCTTTTCCCAACAGTATTAAATTTTCAGTCATATAGGCGGGTAGTTTCTTAACCATCGTTCCTGGAGAGTTACACAAATACTAGACTACCTTCCTCCGTGTAAACTACCAAAGCATCTCCCGAGGATCAAACCCAGACATGTGTATTCCTCCAAAGTAAAGATGGAAAAGTAGAAGTAATACCAGATCTACATACGTCTCAGGAGGAAGCCGATACCAGAATTATGCTACATATGCAACATGCGGCTAAAAATGATGACAAAGCAATAATTTTACTTTCTCCTGATACTAATGTTATGGTATTACTTCTAACGTAAGCAGTCTATCAACAGTTTAATACTATTTGACACTGGTGCGGCTAATAATAGAAGACTGTTAAAAGTAAACAAAATCATTGATAGACTAGGAGAAGATCTTTGCAAAGCATTGATTGGGCTACTTAGTTTCACCGGATGTAATACCACGAGACAAAAGTTTAGACCAAATGCAGACATACTTACAATTACCTATGCTATTGACTTGCGTTCAATACCACCATTTCTTTACAAATTAAAGATGCATATTTTTAGAACTAATTACTAAGTGTTTGTGTGGTGAAATGCCTTTTGTCAATTCCCAACTATTCCAATTCCTGATAGATATGGGTGGAATACTAGTACAACCGGAGGTCTCACATATACATTGTACCTGGACAGAGGGAAATATACTACTACCAGAATTAATTGAAATCATAGCAAATAAAAATGCATGTGAAGTGAAGATGATTTTAATGAAGAAGGTGATCCGGAGGAAATTGAGATAGAATTTAATATAGATGTCATTTTCGAAGAAGATTTCGAGTAATAATTAATATGTGACAAAAAGCTATTTTGTAAAACATTGGAAAAAAGGGGGGCGGGTAATTTATATCCTTTAATAGCATTACAATTAAACCCAATTGAACAACAAAAAGTCTTTTTAACTTCTATAATATTTATACAAACAATTTTTTTTATAATTAAGTGATTTTTGCTTTTTTTCAAACAAAACCACAAAGTTTATATTAAAATATCAATAAAATAACAGGTAAATGGCGGCCATTCTGAATTTGGTGGCCATTTTGAAAAGTAATAACATCAATTAATTATGAAGTAAATCATTTTAGAGACCTTGTCTATGATCTAAAACAAAAACTGACCCCATAACAATGCATTTGGTTAAAAAATTAATGGTTATTTCAATTAGGCTGTTTAATAAGAAATTGTGACAGGGGCAGATAATTCACATTGGCTTGTGTCTTAATGGTAAACGTTTCAGTCAGACAACAAGTTGCAAATGTCTTCCTATATGTTTATTTTTAAAACTGCATGGGTCCCATAAAATACCTTTTCCATTTCTAGTTCATACTCTAATTACTATGTTGTAAAAAATACGAAAGGACGGCGCTATCAGCGTCAATGTTCACGCAGTTTAGAGAAATGCCTTGTTTTTGGTTGAAAAATAATGTTGATCATTAAAAAGGTTAATGTTTAGTAATACGCGTTAACAAAAATAATTGCAGGCATGGGAGACCAATTATTTTTTGTTTATACGTATTATTAAACACTAACCTAATTAAACCTATACATAATAACAAGCACCTGTCACAAAATTTGTCTTTTCGCTGACAAGACCGTCTAATTAAGACGGAAATGTAAAGAGAAATATGTGACTCTTTGTTGTTCCGTTTTAACGTATCTGTTCGACATACAAATTTTATTAACAAATCTTTATCTGCTATATATTATTTATAAGAATGACTTGCAAATGACACCATGCCGCTGATGAAGAGCTATTTTTATTTTCAATTCGTTTGTAACTTAAGTCAAGCAGAAAATAATACGGAAGAAAATGTTATGGTATCACGTGGATTATGACGTGTGTGAGCTAGTTGTTATAAAATATAAAACGGTTCGTTACTTTCGTCGCGGTGCAATATTTGTGGAATATAAATTGTATAAGAGGTATATTTTACAATTATTATTTTTGTTTCGATTTAATTAAAGTGACTGGTTTGTATTAATCCGGTATCTTCTATGAGACATCCTCTACCATTTCATTTTTATATCATTTAATGTTAGAAAAAAGTTCAAATGTTTCAAGCGTGTGTCTTTTTTCCCGAGCTGCTGTTACATGTATCTGATTATACTTTATGCGAGTCTGCCATTTAAAGGTTTTCAAATTAAGCTACAAAAAATATTTTTATAATTGTGTTTATAAAAGCATTGTAATATATAAGCATTGCACATTTTCTGTGATATTACTAGAAACTTTATAAAGGGCACAATCAAAGTTGCTGTTGTCGTCTATGTTTCTTAATTTATCCAATTAATACCAATAATTCTGCTGTCCTTTCTAAGAGATAAAGCCCAAATTCAGTATTGTCGTTGCTCTTATGTACCGGTACATAATGGTGACAATTGAAAAAGTAAAGCGGTTGCAAATATTCTTGTTATATTTTCATCTATAGAATCAGTGTCAAAACATAAAAAAATGTGATAACTTAAATTACACCACACATTTATCTGTAAGTCCAATGTGGATTTAATTGTTAATGTGCAATATAATTCAGTACACAGTCATGATCATGATCGTGCAATGTATTGTCACAGTGGCTGTCTTGCGAGAATATGCAAATCAGTGTATACCATGATAACCAACACCTGTCATAAAATCTGTCTTTTCGCTGTCTAGACCGTCTGATTAAGAAAGAAATGTACAGAGAAATATGTGAACATTTGTATTTTCGTTTTTACTTTAAAAGTAGGAGGAATGTGTTCGACATAAAAATTAAATTATTTTTTTTTTGTCTGATACATATTCTTATAAGAATGAGTTGCCAATGACACCAAGCCATTTCGGTAGGTTATGATGAAGAGCTGTTTTATGACAATATTTGTATTTTATGTTTAATTTTAAATTCGTTTTTAAGTTAAGTCAAGCAGAAAAAAATGCGGAAGAAAATATTATGATATCACGTGGATCATGACGTTTGTGATCAATACCGTTGTTATATAGCTGTTGTACAGAATATACATTTCATTACATTTATACGCCTTGGTGCAACTTTGAATACAAATTGTGTTAGAGGTATATTCTAAAATTATTTTTTTTTTTAATTATATTCAGTTGACACTCTGATTAGTATTAATCGTGCATCGTCTGTGAGGCATCCTCTACCATTTCATTATCGATATCATCTAAAATGTTAGCGAATGTGTTTAATATTTCAAGATTGAGTTTTTTCCTGCTAATATATACTTAAATTTAAATGTATTCAAATTTAGCTAAAAGAAACTATTGTAATTGTGTTTTCCAACGTCGAAGGCTAATGATTTTAATAATTATTGACGTGTTATCATATTTAGGGGGGGGGGTTATCAAGAAAAAGTTATAGTTCATATTAAAGTAAACTATTTAAATTTCCTAGCATATGCTATGTGTATGTGCTATGTGTATTATAAGTATGTAAACGTTATACTAAAACAAAGAAAAGCAGTGATTTAAACAAAAAATGTTAGCGTCAAACTAGGGAATATATTAAATTATGTTGCTTCGGTAATTCAATATTCTACATTTTGTACGGTGTTTGATGCTCAGTAACTGAAACATAAATGCTACAAATATCTGAAATATGATTTTATTGTAATCATTAACAAAAAATAATATTTTTGTTCGACATGTTTGTTATGAAAATATGTCAGCATTTGATTTTTTTTTAATTTTGCACATTATCTACTACTAAAATTAATTTGTTGGGAGTCAATGGTTCTATTTTCTTGAAATTAAATGTTATGTGCAGTTTTTTTTCTTAAAAATTAAATGCCTACTACAATTTTGGTTCAATTAGTGGCTTTAACAGAATTGAGATATTGAAAGAATGGGGTAAATTAGTTGCTTTTCCATAAACGAAACCTATCATGTAAAGTAATTATTAAAATGTTACAAATTAACTTTAAGTTAGTTATTTCAAATGTATAATAAATTATAGTATTGTTTTACTCTAGATGTAGAACTTATGAAAACATAAACATTATTTTCATCGCTGTAGAAATTTCCATTCTGTGTTTCTCTGTTGATATGCGAAGAAATAATGAGGTTTGCATACCGAATTCACAGGTGCTTAACGAGTTTCTGAAATCCAGATAATGATGTTACGAATATCTATTGAGATTATTGCTAAGATGTCCCCACATGATATAACTATCAATCATGACTTTTATATGATATAATGTTTGAAATGTTCCAGCATCCTGCATTCCCCGACTTAGTATGTTCTTAATTTTGTAATGCTCACCAGAACTACTATTTAACAAAGATATCATTAACTTTTTGTTTTCATAAAAATACAGGTGTTCAAAATGAGAAATTCTTTTTAAAGAGACAGAAAAATATTGTTATTTTCCATTTTATATTTTATCACAGGAGACGGCCGAACATTTTTTTCAAGAAAGATGAACTGCAAATACTTAAAAGATCAACACCATATTGTCATAGATATTTCTAAACATCCGAAAATACTTGGATTAGAAGTGTTTTATAAAAGCAGACTGTAACAGATTCTAAAAAAAATATGAGTGTCTATATAGTGGGCAAATTGTAATTTTGGTAGGCCTAAATTGTGGCTTTTTGTTTTGTTTTGTTTTGGGTTTTACGTCACATCGACACATTATAGGTCATATCGCGACGTTCCAGCTTTACTGGTGGAGGAAGACCTCAGGTGCCCTTCCGTGCATTATTTCAGGCACGAACGGGCACCTGAGTAGAACCACCGACGTTCCGTAAGCTAGCTGGATAGCTTCCTCACATGAAAGAATCCAAAGTCCCTGTCGGGATTCGAACCCACAGCGGTGAGGGGCAAGTGGTTTGAAGTAAACGACCTTAAATTGTGGCATTAAAAGAAATAATGATTTTTAATTAATAGCAATACATGTATTTTGAACTGAAGAAATAATGTAAAGTATGTCTTTATATCAGTTTCCGGTAAGTGATGTCCTGTCATTGCTCCAGGCGCGGAGCTTTTTGTGTTTACCATTTATTTTGTCCATAGACCCGATTTTGATCATTTACTCCTTTTGAGTTACTACTATCGGATACAAGATAACGAAAATATCCACCAGATTTCATTTACATTATGTTATTTGAATGGTTCCCGGTTTTACTTATTTAATGTGCATCTCATTGCTTACAGGCGCGGAGCGTATTTATGTTTACAATTGTTGTGTCCATGGACCCGATTTTTATCATTCACTTCTGTCGATTTACTACTTTTGTATACAAGATAACGAAGTTTCCTCTAAATTTTCTTTACGTTATGTAATCATATGTAGCAGAAAGATTAGTATTCAAATGCAGAAAAACGATTCGTCACATAAACATTCGCTGCGTGTTGAACAACTACTGGATGAATCACCACATGTGGTTTTTACGAAAGAAAAATGAAATTAATAAATAAATATACATATAAATAAATAAATAAATAAAATAACATAAAATAAAATAAATAAATAGATGTATTGTAACAGTCATGTCGGCATTGCCATTGCCTTCCACAAACGTGTACCTTGAGCATTTTGTTTAAAGATATTGGTGTATTGTCTTCATACTTGACCACAACAACCCTTCTGATAAATCCTTCAAGTAGACCAGACTAAACTTGACCTTCATTTATAAATGACCTTAACCTTCAAGGTCTAAGTTCTGTTTGTTTTGTTGTTTTTTTTTGTTTTGTTTTTTTGCTGATTATTACTATTAGTGTCTACAACTTTGTTATTTCTTCAAATTTGAACATAACAATCCTTTAGGATAGACCTTTAAGTAAACAAGACCTTATCCATAAATGACATTGACCTTGAAGGTCAAATTATTGAAATTTTCATCTTTTTTGGCTGTAACATTAGAATGGAATGACTTCATATTATAACACAACATTCTTTCGGATAATACCTTCGTGTATATCAAACTCAAATTGATACTTGACTCTTTAATTAATACCTTAACCTTGAAGGTTAAGTTTTTTGCATGTTTAGTGATTTTCTAATACATGTAATTGACTTAACTTGTTAATAAATAAATGAATTATCTTACACTTTGACAAAACAACATTTTGGACAAGACCTTCTAAAAGGTTGAACTGACCTGAGCTTTCAATCACCTTGACCGTGAAGGTCAAAATATTGAATTTTGGTTTAAAAATGTCATAAATGTATATTTATGTAAGGATGTTATTTGGACAAAACAAGACTGGCAACCAAACAAACATATTGAATAATTTTGATTTGACCTTGACCTAGAATTAGCATTGACTGTCAAGATCAAATTAATGAAATTATCTTGTTTTTCTGTAACTGACTGTAACTTAATTTTTTATAAATAGATTAACTACATATTAAGATACAACATCTTGTAGGTCTTAGGACAGTAGAACTTATGTATGACCTTGACCTTGAATGTCAAATTATTTTATTTTCACTGATTATCGCTATTATTGGCTTTAACTTATTATTATGAAAGGGATCATTTTCATACTTTGTCAAAACAACCTTTTTAAAGTTGAACTAACATTGACCTTGAGGTTTATTTGACCCTGACGGGCACGGACAAAGTATGGAATTTTGGTTAAGTTGTCATAAATTTGTGATTATGTACGGATTTGATCTTATGTGGACAAAACAACACTTGTGACCAAACAAACATGTTGAATAATTTAGTTATGACCTTGACCTTTAAATGACATTGACTGTCCTGTATAATGATTGAATTTTGATACTTTGTCATTTATTTTCGGAAAGAAGTCATACTTGGACAAAATAACAAGTGATACTATACAGACATTAAAAGATGACAAATGAAAAACTTATTTTTCTTCTTTAATTTTCTTTTTAAAGATGAATCCAAACCGTTTATTTGTTTTTTTTTAGAAAAGTAAACATATGTTGAGCGTAGTCCCTGCCGGCGGTGGCTC